AAAAACCCCAAAAAACCAAGGATGCATTTGTTCTTTTTCCTCCCTTTGCAAGATTTTTTTAAAATTAAAAATCTCACATATATGGGCGCATTGCAGCCCGATCTGCCCCAAAACCAGATCGATCTGAAAGGTCTTACCTGCCTGAAGTTTTTGCCTTCCTCCCTTTTCCTCCTTTCCTCTCCACATCCGAACCAAAACCGCTTTCGTCCCTCTCTTTTTTTGCTGCCTCCGTTACTCCTCCGGTCCACTCGCATTCCAATATGGCATCCGCGCACTGCGCATGCCTCGCACTTTTGATTCACTTTTTGGGGTGGCCTCTAGGATAAGATGTGTGTGTGTGTGTTTTTGTGTGTGTGTGTGTGTGTGTGTGTGTTGCCTCTTTCAACTTTTTATTATTATTTTATTATTTTTTTCCATTTGATTCTTCATTATTAATATTATCTTCTCCCCCCCCCCAAAAAAAACCTTCCTCTTCTTTTGCAAAATAAATAAATAAATGAAAATAAATAAATTACAAATTTTTCCAAATCTGGGTGTTTTTTGATTTGGAAATCAGCCTCAGCGGTCCAAAACACACTGCAGAAATAATCCACTTTGAGACTGCTTGAACTGCCCTGGCTCAGTGCTAGGGAATTCTGGGAACTGTAGGTTTGTTGTTTTTTTTTGGTGAGATATTGAGAGTCTTCCCTGTACCTTGGTGCCACAAGAAACTACAGATCCCAGGATTCCCTAGCACTGAGCAAGGGCAGTTTCAAGCGGTCTCAAACTGGGTTATTTCTGCCCTGAGTTTTGGAGCAGTGTGTTAAAATTGGGGTGTGTGTGTGTGTGTGTGTGTGTGTGTTGTTAGGCCTTCCAGTCCTTTCTGACTTAGGGCATCACAGGGTTTTCTTGGCAAGATTTGTTCAGAGAGGTTGGCCTTCCTCTGAGGCTGAGAGAGTGTGACTTTCCCAAAGTGACCCAGTGGGTTTCATGGCCGAGCCAGGATTTGAACCCTGCTCTCCAGAGTCCTGGGTGCTGCATCTGCACTGAAGGAATAATGTACTTTGACACTGCTTGAACTGCCACGGCTCCATCCTACCTAATCTTGGGATTTGTAGTTTGGTGAAGGACTGCCAGTGTGACGTAGTGGTTTGAATGTTGGACTAGGACTCTGGAGACCAGGGTTTGAATCCTTGCTCAGCACTGGAAACCCAAAGGGTGACCTTGGGCATGTCACACACTCTCAGCCTCCTCTGAACAAATCTTGCCAAGAAACCCCTCTGATAGGTTTGCCTTGGATTGCCCAGGGTGACCAATATCCTCCTTTTCCAGGACATGTCCTACATTTCAACCTTATGTCCAGGAGGAATGTTGAGGAGGACAAGGAACTACAAACTGTAGGACATGCAAGAAAAATGTAGGGCAAGCCCTGCTTCTCCCACGCTCCATAAGTGATGGACACTCGAAAATGTCATAGAGAAGTGTGTTTGGTATGTTCGCTGCAGTCGTTGTTGTGTGCCTTCAAGTCATTTGCAACTTATGGCAAACCTAAGGGGAACCTATTGCAAAGTTTTCTTGGCAAGGTTTCTTCAGAAGGGGTTTCCCATTGCCATCCTCTGAAGCTGAGAGAGTGTGACTTGCCCAAGGTCACCCTTTAGGTTTCCATGGCTGAGCCAGGATTTTCCCTTTAATACTGCGCAAATAGTAGTAAAAATAATACATGGCTCTGTGCTATGGAATCCTTGGGCTTGTATGGCACCAGAACTTGTTAATAAAGGAAGCTAAATATCTCACAACACTGCAGATCCCAGAATTCCATAGCATTGAGCCATGGCCATTCAAGCAGTATCAAACTGCATTAATTCTGCCCTGCAGATGCAACCTAAGGGTGCATCTACACTGTACAGATCAAACAGTTTGACACCTGCTGTAGGTCCATCCTATGGAATCCTGGGATTGGTAGTTTTACAAGATCTTTAGCCTTCACTGCCAAAGAGTGCTGGTGCCTCACCAAACTACAGATCTCAGGATTCACTAGGATAGGGCTGTGGCAGGTCAAGTGGTGTCAAACTGCATTATTTCTACAGTGTGGATGCACCCTTGGGGGGTTAAAAATCCATCCCAATGAAGTTGCCTGTGTCTCTTCTAAACAGCCTGAGGAAAAGGATGCATCTGCACTGCAGAAATAATACAGTTTGATACCACTTGAACTGCCATGGCTCAGTGCTATGGAATCCTGGGATTTGTAATTTTACAAAGTCTTGAGCCTTCTCTGCCAAAGAATGCTGGTGCCTCACCGAACTACAAATCCCAGGATTCCATAGGATGGAGCAGTGGCAGTTAAAGTGGTGTCAAATTGCATTATTTCTGCAGTGCACATGCACCCTAAGTGGGGTGTATGAAGATACCCCATTACCAGAGCGTCATGGCCCCAAAATTGCAATATTGTGCCACTTATTCAGGAGTAAACCCCAATTTTAACTCAGCTGGACTGTTGTTGTTGTTGTTGTTGTTGTTGTGTGCCTACAAGTCATTTCTGACTTATGGCAACCCCAGGGTGACCAGATGTCCTAATCGCAAAGGAAGGTAAACTGTTGGACATTCAAGAAGAATGTAGGACATTACAAAATAAAAGCTAAAAACACTAACATAAATGTAAACCCATGCCTCTTAAGTCATGCTCAGAATGGAGGAGCTATGCTAGCAAGCCTGGACATAGAAGAAGGAGGAGTGGAAATGGGAGGAAGGAATATTAACAATCTAAGGCAGGGTAGGCAACCTAAGGCCCGGGGGCCGGATGCGGCCCCCCCGAGGCCTTTGGACCAGCCCCAGGCCAGTCCTGCCGCCGCCCCCGCCGCCCGCCATGATGATATTAATTATTGTTGTTATTACTTGTTCTTGGGGTTTTCTTGGCAAAATCTCCACAGGGGTTTTGCCATGGCTTTTCTGGGGCTGAGAGAGTGTGCATGCATATTTTTTAATTTTTTATTTTTTTAAAAAAATTGTTATTTTTATTTATTTATTTACCATATTTATTTATTTTTGGTGTTTCAGCCCCCCAATTGTCTGAGGGACAGCAACTCGGCCCCCGGCTCAAAAAGGTTGCCTACCCCTGATCCAAGATATGCAGACGACGCCATAATACTAGCAGAAGACCTCACAGGCTTGGAACAACTACTGAGAAAGATCAAGGAGGAAAGTGCAAAGGCAGACCTACAGTTGAACATAAAGAAAACAAAAATGATGAACGTGAAGAATCTAGACAAATTCAACCTAGAAAATCAGGAAATAGAAGTAGGAAAAGAGTTCTCATACCTGGGATCAAACACTGATAGCAATGGGGATTGCAGCCAGGAAATTAGAAGAAGATTAAGAATGGGGAGGACAGCTATGAAAGAACTAGAAAAGGTCCTAAAATGCAAAGATATACAACTCAGCACAAAAGTTCGAATCATAGAAGCCATCATATTCCCTATTACCATGGAAGGATATGAGAGCAGGACAGTTAAGAAAGATGATAGGAAGAAAATCAATTCCTTTGAGAGGATGTGGGGCTAGAGAAGAGTGCTGAGGATCCCATGGACAGCCAAAAGGACAAATAAATAGGTCATAGAGCAGATCAAGTCAGAAATCTCCCTAAAAGCCAAAATGTCAAAACTGAGGCCGTCGTACTTTGGACATATCATGAGAAGGGAGGACTCACTGGAAAAAAGAATAATGCTAGGAAAGGCGGAGGGAAGCAGAAAGAGAGGAAGGCTGCATGCTAGATGGATGGACTTTATTAAAGAGACCATGAATATGAGTTTGCAGGAACTGAGCAGAACAGTGAAGGATAAGAGTCTTGGAGATGTCTCAACTCCAGAGTCGCTGTGGGTTGAGAACCACTAAAGGGTGGTTAACAACAATAACAAATGCTAGCTAGGGGATTCTGGGAACTGTAGTTTTAGAAAATAACTTGTCCATGCTCTC